TTTATAAAGCACCTTAAATACTTAGAAGTAATATCAAATGATATACTTAATTCACCAATATCTATTATTCCACGCTGTATAAAAAACTAGATATAAACAAAAATACGTTTTTGATAATTTTTATATTGTCCTAGAATCAAAAATTTCAATATGAAAACAAAACATAAAATTTAAAATTTAATTTTTTCCTTAGTTTTTGAAAAACTTCTGGGCGTTTTTCTCCGAAATGGAAAATTAGCTTAACGAGGAACAAAGGATTTCTTTTAATCTTATTAGCCTCAGCAAGCGTCTTGCAATAATCCTTGCCATTCCTTCATTATCCTTAAAACAAAAAGCTTCTGCGTCAAACTTCAAAAGTGCGTAAAATAAGCTTTTCGTAAATGAAATTAATTAACCTTGACGCCTCTCTTATTCCTACTGATCACCAAATTAATCCTAAATTAATCAGTATTATTTAGGCAAAAACCTTAACCGTTCTTGTTGGAAATTCGAGCGACGTCATGATGCTAGATAAAATCTCCTATTTCGAAATTCAATTAATTCGTAATTATCACCCCTCGGTTTACATTCGACAAGCCACGAATTATGTTACAATTCTAAATTTTAAGAGAAAAATGTAATCGGTTGAGAAAGTTTCAAACTAACCCAAAACAGTCGCAAATGTGGTACTAATTAGTGTTTAATTAAACATAGAGTTGTAATTACGATAATTAATCACTGAAGCGATCGAAGTTCGAATATTGTATTTCAATTCATTGTTTTTCAAGAATTATTAATATAGGTATCACCGCTGAGAGGCTTAAAGAAAACAAAATATTAAAGGTCTGAGAAAACAAATTTGCAAAAATAAATAAATAAATAAGACAAGAGAAACAAGCACTGATTGAATATTGATTTTCAAACTCAATATACTCTTTTTCATATTAATGTGCATCAAGTAGGTTGTAATAGTCTAAATTAATCTTTAACTTAAAGGCTGATTTACACAAAAAGTGTCATTAATATGTCATTCAGAACAAATTTAAGCACATTAATAATGACAAAAATCTTTATGTTTGCTACCCTATCTTCATTACGTTGTTAATTTTAATTATTTTTTGCTACCTGGGGCACACATTTATTTGAAAAAATAATTTGTAGAGAAATTTGAGGTTAGGATTGTTTGAATTTAAATGCATGACTGCCACCTTAAAATAATCCCTTTCAACGACTACTTCGATGCACATTAATATGAAAACTAGTATAGTTTTAACTTAGAAGTTTTAATTTAATTTGACAGACATACAGTGTGTTAAAAAAAGATTGTAAAATATTTCAAGAGGTAATAGTTTGGTCTTAAGCCTTAATAAACATAGAGGGTGCGCCAGAACTCGCGCGTCAGAGATAAATGCCATATAAGGTAAGATCCCAGGAACATGGAAAAAATGTTAAAAAAAATTATCTATAACAATTTCGAAGTTATGAGAGTTTAAATTTTGCACTTTGACTCAATTTATTTCTGTTGGAAAAATAACTTTCCAAGTTTTTTTGCTATAGGCTATTAAAAGAGGAAACAAGGAATCTGTATCCTAAATTGTAACTCTGTTCAATGTTATTTGTGGCTTTTATTGGCAAACTTTTTGTACCTTTACTAAATAATTGTAAAAAAAACATATAAAAGATTATCAGTATTATTAAATAGACATGAAGAAATGTCAAATGTCAAAATTTTTTAACAGAGAATTTTTTAAAGATTTTTTCCGTGTTCCTAGTATCTTACCTTACTTGAAAATTTTCTCTGGGGTGCGGGTTCTGCACCCTGTATATGGGACCGCATATGGGAGGTATCAAAAATTATTCGTTTTTTAAAACATTTATTTGCAATTTGTCCAAATAAAAAAAGAGAAGCTTCTAGTAAACATTTTTACATTTGATATCTCCGAAACTGTTCCTTTGCGAAGGCATATTTATTAAGACTTTTTGGTTTATTTTGGTTCATACTATTACCTATATATTTAAATATTTTGCAACCTTTTTTTAACATCCTGTATGTCTACACGATTGCTCAGATGTAAGGATTAAATAATAATTTATCATTTGTGAATAAACACACATCCCATCGATTCCTAGACAGTGAAATATTATACCAACCAATGGCTTTGCTGAACTTTCTAATTTATTTGCTTTAGAAAAGCTCACATTTGGAGGATAAAATTTATCAAAATGTAATGCAAGCACGTATGTAGTTGTAATATGTGATTATCTGGTAATGGAGGGTGTAACTACTCTAAAAGCTATTATTGCTCTGCTTAATAAACAGCTATGAATAATACGAGTCCAAAAACAAAGTTTTATTATTCTTTGTTTTAAACATTTGACAGAAATAATTTTGTAATTAAGTTGACACATTAAAAAACACAGAGACAAAAGATAGAAAATGATTTTTTTCCAAAATCGTCACAAAAGTTACAAAAAAATTTCAGTTGTTTCAAATTGTCACTAAAGTAGTTTATTATATATACTACAATTTTGTGTTGTGTTGTCAAATTATTGAAACAAAGATACAGATACAAAAATTCAAAAAATAAATTAAGTAGTTTTTAATATAGTATAAGCTGACAATTTCAGAAATTTTCTTATTGTCATAGTATATTTAAAAGGTATTAATTTTTTTGGTACAGTCATGTGCAATATCTTCTACTTTTATTAGAAATTCTGGTTTAAAAAATTATTAAAGTAAAAAAAAATAATAAAAGTTAATAAATACTAGCTGCAGGGTGTCAAATAAGACAATGCCATTATTGTAATGTTAAAAAAAACACTTGTCTGTACCACAAAAAACACTAATATTCTTCAAATTATAAAAAAAATTGAGTCTCTATTTAAAATCAAAAAACTGAATGTAGTTCAAAAAATACTATACTATTTATAAGTGTTAGGTTATACTATACAGGATGTGCCAGAACTCACGCTCTAGAGAAAAATGTCATTTAAAGTAATATACCAGGAACATGGAAAAAATGTTTAAAAAATTTTATCTATAAAAATTTCGATGTTATGAGAGTTTAAATTTTGCACTTTGACTCTATTGATTTCTAATGGAAAAATAATTTTCCAAATTTTTTTGCTAAAGGCTATTATAAGAGGAAATAATGAAGCTCTGTCCTAAATTGTTACTCTGTTCAATGTTATTTGTGGCTTTTATTGTGAAAATTTTTGTACCTTTACTAAATAATTGTAAAAAAACATATACAAGATTATCGGTATCTGTCAAAAAATAAATTTCATAATTTTTTTAACAGGTAGAATGTTTCTGGTATCTTATCTTATTTGAAATTTTTCTCTGGGGCGCAAGTTCTGGCGTACCCTGTATTAAAAGCCATTTAATTTAGTTTTTAATTTTTAATAATTACAAAAAAGAAATAGTAAACAATGATTTCTTTTTTTAGATGATGAATGATAAAATAAAAATAAATAACAGAAAAAATAGATAACAGAATAGAATAATGATGAAAACGTATAATGTCAGAAATGGAGGACAAAGTGTGAAATATAAGTTAAACTAAGGTAAAGCTTAAAAATATGAACAAAATAAGAGAATATCAAGAGAGTACAAAATTAAATCAAAGGGACAAACTAATGTAAAGAACATAGTAGAAAAAAAAAAAGATTAAAAAAGAAATGTAATAAATAAAACAGTAAAACACAAAACAGCAAAGCAGGAAAAGAAAAAACAAAACAATAACATAAATCAAATGACAAAAAGACGAGAATTATCAAAACAAAAAACTGTATGAGGGAAATGTGAATTTTGTTCATTTTCACATCTTCCGTTTCTACATTTATCGCGAGATCAAGATAATTTGTAATCCGAAAACGTATGTTTGTTTTTGAAGTAACTAATAAAATGAGAAGTGGAAAAGTAAAACGGTAAAATGGGCTGGAATTAATAAAGTAAATCATAAATTTAGTTATTAAAATCATCATTTTTAATCATGTCATTTTACCTTTTGACGTGTCATTTTATTTGACATTCCACAAACATACATTTTCCGATTCAAGAATGACTCGATTGATCCCTCGATATTAATGTTACCAACTTAATGTCAAAGTCACAGGTCCCTTTAAGCGGAAGTTTCTATGCATGTTTATACAGGATGTTAATAAAAGATTGTAAAATATTTATGAAGGTAATAGTATGGAGCAAAATAAACAAAAAAAATAATTAAATAACATGGCAAAGTAATATCGAATGTCAAAAACTTTTAGAACTTTTACTAAAGTCGCGATCAATTCATAGTGGCCACTTTTCTGTGTAAATTTGTAAAAATTGAGTTGTGTAAATCCGACCATAAATATCAAATGTTTTTTTTTAGGGACATATCT